CTGTCATGAATGATTCTAGGATTTCAAGTGATTCCTTCCTCGAAGCATCACCATCTTCGTCAAGGTCGTGTGTGGTGTTGGGGATCACACGAATGAAAACGGGGGATGAGATGCGTACTACAGGTTGGACGCCATTCTGCGGGTGAGCTGAGGCTATGGCGGAGAGAGCAGAAACGACTGCCGGAGAAGACATATCGATGCGTGTTTGGATCTGTAAGGATATTTCCGAAATGGCGGAAGGAGCGACGATGGGCGAGGTGGATGTGGCTGAGAATGCTGAGTGGCGGTGAAGTGCAGTTGCCGGTGCAAGCGTAGTGCAAAGGTTGAGAATATGTAAAGTTAAGAACGAAACGATCTATGAACACACGAGCTCTAGTTAGAAACAAGGAGTCGTCCAGGGTTCCTAGTCGCATTGACACACCAAGAGTAACTTGAGGCGAGCGACAGGGTTCACAGGCTTATTCCCATCGCTTGACCCATCTACACCCCCTTTCTCGCCAATAACGGAATCTATCATGCGCTTGTGCCACGGCGCAGTGGGTGACACCGGAGAGGTTGTAATTATGGGCGAACTTGCTCTCGAGGACCTCGAGCTCTCAATAGCCTTCTTCGTCGCACGCATGGCTTTAATCCGACGAACCTAAAGGAAAGAAAAAACAATAGCGGCGCTTAAGTGGGCGCCAATATTCACGCACGATGGAAATCTCACCTCAACGACGACAGCAAGAATGCCCACATACATCGTAAAGAGCGCAAAGCAATCAATGCCCATCGTCAGCGCGGCCAGAGAACAAAACTCCTTCAATCCACCAACGCCACTTCCGACTCCAACCAAAAGGACCAAGATTTCTACTACATAATCTCTCACGATCGACGGACCAACATGATCCACCGCTTCAAGCACAATCTCGCTAGCTGTCTTGCTTTTCCTTCGAGGCATGCCCCCGGTACGTGGAGCGTTTCCGTTCAGGAGATTTGGAGGCAACAGACCCGGGTGATCCACAACTGCTTTCACTAATCTTAGGGGTTTATCAAATCCGACAGTGATGACCAAGAAAGGCAGCGCTTCTGATATTCCAATGGGGTCGAGAGGGATTTTGATGTAGTTTGCTATGGGGAGGGCGATGATGAAGGCGCAGACAGCAGAAATGAGGACCGTGGAGGCTTGACGACGCCAACAAGAATTGAATTGATGATTCCACAAAAAGGCAGTGTGCGGCGATTTCGGGTTGTTCACACATGGAGATAAAACATAAGTGCATTTGTGACCGGTTTTAGTGATGATTCCATGGAACCATTAGGGGAAAGTGAAGAGAATAATGGTTTGCAGTTCGGATCGCCGATTGGGAAGGGTCACGAGTTCCAGAAAGTCAGCACAAAAGTAGATTCGATGTCGAGTGGGGAAATGCGCTCTTTGAAAGCGCATGACATACCTAACCAGAAGTTAGAGCCCAGCTTTCGGGCATTCAAGAATAAATTAACGAAGGTGGCATGCATAAGAATGTAGCCTAGAAGCACAATCAAGATGTCGGCGGAGTCTGCCTTCTGGTGAACAATAGACAGTCATATGACGCAAATCACATTAATCAGTCTCGGTTGAATTTAAGGGGAAACGAAAGCACCGACGGACCTTTGCGAGTTTCCAAAAGCGGAGTATCATTGCACGACCTGCGTAGGCAACCCACTTGCCGCTCGGCATCTCCGCAATCGCCTCCTCCCTACCTATGATGTCAAAACTGACTTGAGAGAGAAGGCTCCTTAACTCATTGTTGGAAGGCAGTTGGAAGGAGGACAGAGCATCGATGAATCTGTTACTCCCCGAGACCGGGAAGGCTAAGGTGAGAATCTGCGTTCGCGGAGTCCGGTGAACGGAGAGGAAACATTGCGATGCCGCCGGAATTCTGTAACATAACGAGGAGTAGGACAATCCACCCTTTGCTCTAAAGTCGTGTATAATGTAGTCTATGAGCCGCTCAATCGGTTCCGAGAGAATATTGGATGCGAGAGTGATGTTGGATGTATGCGGGTTGGTTGAAGGGAAAGATGTAGCATATTGACCCGACCGTAAGTATTTGTACGGCTCATCTAAACTGAAGATGACCTGGACGAGATCCACTTTGGCATTACGTGGAAGGGGGACCTCAGTCCAGGTATCTTCGGAAGCGGGAACCCACTCGTTTCCGATTTTTCGTGTCACAGACGGTCTTAACGTGGACAGTGGGTTATTGTGCCCTCCAGAGAGGAAGTCAGAGTGTTTGATGGAGTGGACAATTTGAAAGTAGGCCAAGGTCACCAGGACGAAACTGACGACGATGGTTTCGATGGGGAAACGCGCTGCCCTGGAAGAAAGCAGTCGCAGGATGGAACGTGTCGGCCCAGAAATCATCTGTAATAACGGAAAGTAATGGTAGTAGCTGGCAGAGGGTGGGGAATCGAGCAGATGTCTTGGGGTTCCGGGATAATAAGTTGAGTTGGGGCGGTGGTACGATAAAGATTTGGCTATTTCGGATAATGATGTTTGCGTAATATGCGCAGCAACGACACGTCAAAGTACGTGGACAAAATAATAATGAATGCTTTGGGTGTGTTGAACACCTCTTCCGGGGACGAGTAGAGACTGGAAGCTAAGCGCGAGAGTGTCCTGGGAGTGGTCTGGAATAAATATAATGATAAAATAACTACCGGAAATTGCCGAACCGCGAGTCGGCGATTAACCCGCACGACCCCGCACCTTTCCGCACGTGGCTGGTGAGTGACTGGCGAGCCCAAACGTCCGATGCAGTGCAGCCGACGTCGTGGTTCCGGAATTCCGATGTCCGGCGATGTCATCTATTGCAAGTTTCGGAGCCCCGTGGCTTCTCGCGTTTGTTCCGGAGTCGACTGACCCTGGTGATCATGATAAGACACATGGGGGGCGCAAACACCCTTAAGTCATTCTCTTCGAGTCTGAGGGACCCTTCAGAGTATCTACGACGCCACCATGACATTGCACGCTCTTCCATAGCCACATTGCTGGTAATCAGCTTCATTTCGAAGGTTTGTGACAGAAGCTGAAGGGAAACCTGCTCTGCAGGGTTGGCTTTTCCCGGCGCCGCAACATTGATATTCGTTTGGTCCGATGTCTTATGCCAGTTCTGGCATATCACGGCTGAGACCATTCCTGGACCCACTGCCACCACTAGCCTCATGGTTGTGATCCGTGGGATGATCGATTTGATTACCTCCGGGTCAATGTTCCATATCCCCACTGCTGGGCCCCTGCATTGGGGAAAATAAGGCCCCCGAGATTCGCACTCCTCGTGGCACCGGCATTTCAACTTCCGCCCGGGAAGTTTCATCTGCGTGCGCAATGTCCTCAAGACACGGTTATGGTTTCCAATGAACATTGAGTCTGCGCCATTCGCCCACGCTGTTTCAAATTTACGAATTTGAGACCCATGTGATGCTTCAAAGACGGTAAGCTCAGCACCCCCGTCTTTAAATATCACAAGCCTTTGTTCCACTTTTGACAGTGCCTGCATTCCATCTTGTGTTAACCCTGCTACAACTGGCACTGCTGTCTGTCGGCTTGTATTCGCCGCAGAAAACATCGCTGATTCATTAAGAAACTTCTGCTGCGGCAGCATATCCCGGGCACCTGCCTACCTGTTGCTCAACGATATCCCATCAATGACTTGAATGTAGGTCTCCGTCACCTAGTGCGTTCAAGGACATGAAGGGTGTGCTCCGCTCACAGGCCCCCAACCAGAATGCTTGAATGTGCGCTGTGTAATGTTAGATTATCTTCACAATTTCGGGAAGGTCGGCACTGAAAGACCAACCCATCGACGTCAATTCATCTGGACACGGGTACGGCATAAGCGCCCGCATTAAGATGAATGAGACGGATTTCAATTAGGGCTCTTAATAATTCGGTTTCGGTCAGAAACCGGACCTGACGATTGCCTTGTGCTCCAACTAAAAGTCGTACTGCAAACCGTGGTTTGCAACAGTTTGAATAACACGGCTTGAAGGCGCGATAAAATGCTTGAAATGGAACCGGTAATTTTGTCAGTGACAGATCGGTTTCTGGCTCAAACCGAACCGTTCGAAGCCCTAATTTTAACGTTGTTGCCGCACCGCTCTGGCCCAGGGTGAGGAACACTGCACGCCAACATCACAATTGGCAGCTCCTTAAGTGAGCCCTTCTTTTTGGTTCCGTCAACCTTTCGACCTGAGCCCCTACTGAAACTCGCCCAGGTTTGGCGTCTTTGACCATCGATCCCCGGGCACAATATAGCAACATTTCACATATTATCAATATCGATCGGGCGCATTCGCTGCTCACACAGAACCCCTCAAAGTGGGGAGAGACTCAATTTTGAAAACAAGGCACCGAAGGCTTTCTGACGCTTCCAGTCGCCGGTATCGCCTAGCAGTACATAGTGACGTACATAGGTTCCAGGCAGCTAACCCGACTATGAACATCCTGCCATGATCCTTTCAGGCACGGTACTCCGGTATTTGACCGCACCCCCAGGCCGCGATTCACGATAGTTGGGTGGCACGAGTATAATATTGTTATGTGTGTGGTGTGCGCATAAAACTGGCCGGAAAATGTTAATGACAAAATAACCAAACAATGCTGCGTGATCACTCTGATGCTATCAATCAATGCCGGAAATCCTGCTCCACTGCCCTGCGAGCTTTACTTATCCCCGGAATCCGTTGATGCGCATCAAGATGCAGCCAATATTGATCGAGGCTTTTCCGTCAGGTGAAGGCTGTGTGATTGGAAATGGTTGCCACATTTGGGCTAATTTCAATATAAGCGCCCTGCTGTGAGGATCATCGTCCCTCTTCCATCTCCTTGGGGCATCTCCTTGGCTCGAACCCCCAACAAACCCGTGCAACATACTAATTTACCGTCGCATCTTCATTCACCTACTAAGCGCAGGGACGCTCGTTCACAGATTTAAAACACTCTAATCCCGCTATAAGTAGCGCAGTGGAAATTTGGAATGTTCAGCAGTCTTCTTACTCCTCTCAAAACGGCATTCGAGGAAGTGCGATCTCCACGTGTTTCTACTGTTATTCAGGGCACAGTAGAAGAGAGTCCCGAGGACTTCGCACATGATGTGCGCGTCGAAATCATTCGGCGTACTGTTGAAGATTTAAAAGTAGCGCCCAACATCGCGGCTCAGATCGAGGTCAGCTGGCTGGGACACAATAAATAGTGTATTTTTCAATCTGACAACCCAATACGCTACTTCTAGGAGCTCCACCAAATCGACACTGTTTTGCGTGAAGATGCTTCGATGAAGCAAGTGTTCAGCGAATTAGATGGCTTTCTCGTACTCGTCAGTGTCTTATCCACGTTGCGTGAAATGGACCGTTCTTCTGCCGAGTCACTGAGTACATGGAGAGAATATATGCGTGTGTGCTTCTCTGTCCTGTGCGTTGCACTCTCATCATCTCCGCGCAACCAAACGATTTTCGAGGTAGGTTATTCATTAGAATCTTGCGTTTGGAAAACTTATCGGAGTGCTTCTGCAGAAAACAGTGGGGTGGGAGACTTTAAAACAGGCCCTCCACCCGGCATCTCCTTCAAATGTTGGTCTTGCTTCCCTTTGGGGACTCCTCTTGAGCCTGGCCTTCAACGATATGAAGTTGGAGTCCTTCTTTGTGGATGCTCCTGATATAAGCAACGACCAAACGGCGCCACTGGACTCGCATATTCGTCATTCTCACGAGCGACTGACGAGCCTGAAAAACCCGAATGCCGTCATTGCATTGTTTGAACTACACGTGGAGATCATGTCCCCGAGGCAGGCTTCATATCTAGTTTTCAGGACGATCGAACGAATCGTTTCGATATCACATCGAAATCAGGCAATGCTGAACGCACTCGGCCTCGGAGGATCTGTATTTGACTACGTTTCGAAGAAGGTACAGCTTTTGCCTACAGAAAGTACTAAACTCGTAGTGCAGAAACTACTAAGGAGACTTCTGGAAATGGGGGTTCCTACTCTTGATCAGGCACGAGCCTTGTTCCAGAATGTCCTCAGAAACTCGGCAGTTGACTCTGATGCCCTCACTCTACTGAGAAGCGCGAGTCGGGCAAAGTGGCCATCGTTCTTTTCTTTTAACCATGCTTCTGCCCTAATACTTCCGGATACTCGAGGGAAGGCCTTTCCACCTCTGGCAGGCTTCACTTATATGGTTAGAGTTCATATGCGTGGCAGTCCGATTTTTCTGTTGACATTGCCTTTGACTGCAATCACAACTTAGACTTGGATATATGTCGACCGCTATCCGCTTCCAGATGAGCCCATGATCATCTTTGGGGCGCGTTCCTCCTCACCCTCGCGGTGGATTGTGAAACTAAGTTTGCTGAGTGAAGGCGATCTTGAATGCGCGACCCCCTCCATGCAGGAGCCTCTACTTACGAATGCCGAAATTGTTCGTAAGGGTCGCTGGACACATGTTGCGCTGGTTCACTACCCATCCCGCTCCTCTTCGCCCAATATATGTAGGTATGCGTGTGGTTATGCTGTCAAAGAAACCCTTAACGTGCTTCCCTCAGGCCTATACGTCGACGGTCATGAAATCCAGTCCGAATCCTCGGTTTTTCCTAAACCGTCACCTCCACCCACAACTTATCACATTGGTTGCGATCCGTCTTTATTAGACTTCTTCCCTCAGAGTAAATGGTCAATGGCGACTTCACACTTGATTGGGTGTCCTCTCTCGTCTGATCTTGTCCTTCTCGCGCATCATCTTGGTCCACGATATATTGGGAATTTCCAAGATGCAGCATTGTACCGTTTCCTCACGTACGAAGCTTCAACGTCCCTGAACATTCACATGTTTGGCAATCAATCTTCTCTCTCCTCGAAATCAGGAATAACTGATGGCGCCAAAGTCATATCCAAAGCTCTTGCTGGAGATGTCGGTTTCAATGAGGACGACATCCTGTTGTCCTTGTCACCTTACGGCGTTAAAAACGATCCTGATGAAGACGAAAATTCAGGTGTTCAGGTTGTGACCAATGCTTCGGGGGTGCAACGATCGAATGGCGTTGTCGCCTCGATGCTGGGCGACGTTTACGTGGCCCAACTAAAATGTTTGGACGACAGCGTACGTCGGATGGGTGGTCCAGCTATCGCATTGAAGATCATCCAATGTTGCACTGTGCGCATCCACATGTGCGAAACAATGCCTAACTACTGACCAAATCACAGACATCGTCAGACCTGGAGAATGGGCTCGGTATCCTCTTTGATGTGATCCGCACCAGCTGGCAGAATTCGGAAGACATGGAACGGCTTCGTGAGTTTGGTTCCTTGCGTGGGGAACCCAGCGCCAAACATCGTGCTTGTCAGGTGGATACGACGTCCTCTCCTCGTTGCTCAGAGCAAAGTCTAGCCTCATCAATCAGGCCTGTTTCGAAGTCATATTTGAATCCCTAGGTATCAATTTTAGCAATCCTCGGTGCGTACTTCCTCCTGTGATAATTCCGGGGATTCGAATCCTCAACGAAAGCAGTGGCGCAACGATTGTGAATACAGTTGCTTATCGAGCCCTTGGATTGGACTTCCATTTGTGGTCACTGGTTAACCCGGATCTTCAAACTGTGTACTGGAGCCATTTCGAGGTTCTCCTTGAACAATCCAACTTCAAGCGCTTTAACAGCAAGCATCGAATAGCGAGGAAATTCAACTCCCCTGGCGTGCTGCGGCAGGCACTCTTCGTCTACCAGACTGATCTGTATCCTCCGGAGCAAATACATCGCATGGTTGACGCTATCGCGGTTTTGGCAAGATCGAATTGGTCAACGGATACTACCATAAAACCCCTTATTTCATATTTAGCCGCGAGACTGCACAGCCCAGGTTTGCTTGGCTTGCTTGCTTGCTTGCTTGCTTCCTGTTGAGTGCTGATATCACTTTACAGAGACAGGGCCATCGTCCCCACTTTCTCTGCGATCCCACTTGTCACACATAGATAGAGTGCACGCCCACGAGAAAGCGGAGCAGCTGTTGGTTGCTCTTGTATCGATTCTCTCGACAGAAACTTTCCTGGCGAAACTGAATGCGTCGTTACCCCTCTCTCGGATACTGATACTGCTACTAGGACCAAATCCGTCTCCTGTGGTTACATCCCAGGTTTTGCGTATCACCGCCCTTCAATTGCGGACCTTTTCCAACTCTTCCCGCAAGCTCGAACTCTTAAACTTTTGGAGCGTCTTAAAGGTAATTTTACCCGAATCATGGGATCCACTGGTCCATAGTGCAGCGTTCGATCTGCTACTTGGGAGGACCGAATCTGCCTCTAACTCACAAATCCCAACGGACGCGGTTGTGAAATATCCTCAGATGCTCCCTCCTATTTTTGCCTCACTCGAGCACGGGCTCACCAAGCTGCTGGAGCGTAGCATGCTCAGCGGTGGTCTGGAACTACCCAATGGTAACCCTCGTTCCTTCGCAACCTCGTTCGTCAGGATAATTGACCGACTTCTTTTAGCAACTTCAGCTGCATCTGAAACAGTTACAGAGGCTATAATTGAGGAGTTCGTAAACATGCATACAGCCAGTCGCACGTTCCGGGAAGCATTTAGCTTCAAACTTGTGATGACGGAACTTGTTTCGCTCCTTCGGACGTTGACGTCCAAAGGGGCCTTCACCCTCCAAGAGCGCAACTCGATTTCAGGGTTACTGGACAGATTAATACATTTCGCGAACCTAGTTTATGCCGATGATTCACTTAATTTCTCCCACAAACAAGAGGTGAGTTACTGTTTGACTTCAAGGAGGGGTATCTGAAGCTCATGGATACCAAGCTGGAGAGCGCCCTCCAAGCCACACATCTGCCTCCAACCTCTCTCTCCCCTGCCCCTGCATCAACACGACGGAGGTCCATTCTTGGTGTTTCGGTCTCCGACCGACGAAGTATCTCCGAGAGGAATGCTCAGAAGACGCTCTATAAAGTGGCTACTTGGCGTGCAGTGGTCATCTCTACTGAGAAACAGCGTCGGAGAAAGATGTATCAGGATATGTGAGTTAGTATGCTAGAAACGTGAGCTGTACTAACTGCTCCATAGGAGAGAAGAACTCCGTGCTTTACAACGACTTACCCAATGGCTTGTTTTGGTTCATCACGAAAGGAGCCTTTGGCCACAGAATACCACGGCCCTTTGGCGTTTGGATGAAGCTGAGGGTCCCTACCGAGTTCGGTGAGAATCACCTTACTGCCTGTTGAAACTCTCGATCAACTGTGATACGCAGAAAGAAGCTCGAGCCCGAGATCGACAAGTTGCTGGAGAATAAAGCCACGGACAGTCTCACTCGCGAGCTTCTGGAAATCGATGACGCAAACTCTGTTGTCGTTGTACACGCTCCTTGGGATGAATGTAACGTTCGTTGCTTTATTCCCTCGCTTCGTTGCTCACCTGTTCATCCAGCATACAACTTCGACGTCGCTGAAGGTATCGGCTTGTTCGCTCCTTTCGCTGTTGGTTTAACGATCTGTTCAGAGGATGACAAATGGGAAGATGAGCTCATTGATGACAAGCATCGCAAAATTAGACATGAACTCGAACCAGGTGACGTAATAGAAGTGGTCAAGAATGTGGCACGTATTGTGGGTGTTGATTCATCCCGTAAGTATGGCTTAATCTGGGCTGTGCACAGCATTCATATCCTCAATGTACAAGCTGGGCTCTTTATTCTCGGTCGGACGCATCTATACGTCAGAGACGGTTTAGTGGAATCGGCCGACGGCGAGGTTGTGGATGCGCGTGATGCACCGAAAGACGTCCTTCAGGTTCCCGGGACACTTCTTGCCGATCTCGACCCTAACATACGCGCTCGTCGATGGTTAGCTCCAAACTGATTATGTATTGTACAAGTCTGATTTCTTCCGAAAGGAGTTTTGAGGCGTTGGCTGGATTTAGCACCAGGACACATCTATTTCGGGATGTTTCGTGAGTGATTTGCTCATAATCTTACACTATCGCTAACGTCCCAGTCAGCCTGGAAATCTACTTTAGAGACTCACGTAGCCTCCTGTGTGTCTTCCCTAACAAACTAGATCGACAGGCCGTGCTCTCCAAGCTTCAAAAAGTCATGACCAAGACTGCAGCGGAGAGTAGTGCTGCAACGGCGACGTTCCGATCCCCTTTGCTAAATCTAGTTTCTGCAACTGGTAGGATTTATCAGAACCGACCCGAGATAGACGTGGCTCAGCGGCGGTGGCAAGCGAGAGAAATCAGTAACGTGAGTACACTAGCTCACTTTCCCTCAGCCTTTTCTGACATGGGTTAAAGTTTGCCTATCTCAGTATAATTAACCAGGCCTCAGGGAGGACACCCAATGATCTCACTCAGTACCCCGTTTTCGTACGTTTATTTCATCGTCATCGTGGCTTTAATATCTATCTAATCTGTATGCCTTCCAGCCTTGGATTCTCAAGGACTATACTTCAAATACATTGGATCTGTCCAAACCTGAAACTTTCAGAGAGTAAGATTAGAGAAGTCACTATTTTATGCTGCGCCAGTATCTCATATGACCACAAGTCTGAATTGGCCTATGGGGGCTTTAACAGAAGTTCGGCGAGCCTCAGCAGAGGCCCGATATTCTTCCCTGACAGATATTGGAGAGCCGCCCTTTCATTATGGTCCGCATTCTGTTTTGTTCCACTAACACCTCTAAGGGTTTGAGCAGGCACACACTTCTCGTCAAGCATGATTACATCCCACTTTCTCATTCGGTTACCACCTTTCAGCAAGCACTTCAAAGTTCTTCAGGTCTGTATTCACCTTGATTGGATCAACACCAGGGTCTCTCAGCCTCTGGTCCTCGGTTCTAGGGAGGCGATTTTGATTTACCAGAAAGGCTCTTCGTGTGAGTGATGTAAGCGATGTTTATATTATGAGGATATTAAACTCTGTGTTGTAGGGATGTTCAACGGGCTTACGAATCCGCCGCACAAGACAGCCGAGGGGATGTTAGGGAACTAATCCCTGAATTTTTCACTTGTCCGGAGTTCCTTGAAAATTTCTCTGATCTGGAGCTCGGGGTCAACGCTGGAGGAGAGCAAATCCAAGATGTTAAGCTTCCCCCGTGGGCCAAGCGGGATGCCCTGCTGTTCATTGCGCTTCATCGGCAAGTGAGTCGTCATGTCAAGAGTGATACGTTATTTACTGACCGAAAAAGGCCCTGGAAAGCGAATACGTTAGCCGAAATCTGCCCACTTGGATTGACCTTATATGGGGGTGCAGACAGAAAGATGTGGCATCTTGTAATGTGTATCACCCATTAAGCTACGAGGGGGCAATAGGCGAGGCACTTTGAAGCATCAATAATGACATTGAGCTAACAGGGTGCTGTTCAGATTTGGACAGTATAGATGATCCTCTACAGCTTGCCGCCTCTGTCGGTATAATTCATAATTGTAGGCTTGCTGCGCCACCGCACAGTGCACCATCTGACATCTGGGCCCTTCTCTCAAAGTTGGGCAAACACCCAGAAAAATCTTCTCTTCCCCCCATCCTCCTCGCTACATGGACGGCGAACTTTCGCTCCCTCTTGGAACGGCCTACGGCATTGCAGAACATCCACACCTTTTATTTCAATCAAATCAACCCATCAAATGTGCGTGGCCGACCCTGTGGCCGCTGATCGCCTGCTAACACCACCTTCAGCGACACAAAATGGTGTTTCATCCTTATATGTTGATCTTCTCAGTGAGAAAGTCATTCCGTGTGGCCCCGACTCGCTCATAGTACCAACTTTTGCACACGAATCTGTCGAATGGGGCTTCCAGGACCAAAGCTTGCGATTATTTGCGGACAAAAAGGTGGGTTCACTGGTAGCATCACCCAGAATATGCCTGATTGATGATCTAGCTGGTTCAAATTGTGGAGTCAGCGTACCTTAGCTGTGCATGTTTCTGCGACTCCGAGGTCCTCATCGCAGGAACTTCGGATAACATGGTGACAGTGTGGCGGATACACCGTTCCTCGTCATCGTCACCGAAGCTCAAGTTGTCCTATCTGATGCGTGGGCATGAATCAGCTGTACAATGTGTTGATGCATCTCGACCATGGTCCCTGATTGTTACCGGTAGCGATGATGGTACGGCCATATTCTGGGATCTCAACAGAGCTCAGTATGTGAGAACGATAAGGCATGACAGACCGGTGCATTCTTGTGCCATCAACAGCATCACAGTAAGCGATTGATCTTTGTGTCCACTGGAAATAGCAGCAGTTTTTCCTGATTCCACTGTTTCCAGGGTGATGTGGCAACGTGTTCCATTGACCGCCTTTCGATACATACAATAAACGGGCGTCATATCGCTTCCTTGCGACTTGGAGCACACGAGCGAATCACATCGCTTGCATTCCATGAAAGAGAAACATCCCTAGTTGGGATCTTAGCGGCCGGTTCCGCAGATGGCTCTATATCATTGCGGACATGGAACCCGAACGATACTCCGCTGGAAGAGAAGGCAAAGTGGAAGTTCTCTACAGTCCGTAATCTCAAAATGCGAAAAGAGCCCGGGTTAGGGATGTGGCTCCCCACAGTGACAGCACTGAAGTTTGTTGGGTAAGCCGACAAATCCTCCTGTCGTCTGATCCAAAATTTCTTACCTGCTATGTGTGGGTTCATCAGGGAAATACTGTACAGTGGAGATGAATCTGGACGCATGTTTAACTGGACACTCCCTGATTGAAGGTTCATGCTATGTCAATTTGCTTTAGCACTAGAGTGCTCGCTGTGCGTCGGTAGCGCCTGCATAACCATTCCTCAGCCAGCGAGTCAACCATTTATCGAGCAATTTAGTAACCTTCATGTAACTACAAAATTTTCTTATCAACTGTGTAAAACTGGAATGTCGTCCCATTCAACAAACAATGAACATCATTCTCCAACCGGAGTAGACCTAAACAAAGCGGTCCAATTTCTGAATCATCACGGCATCCTGTCCATTTTTGCATCCTCACATAATTTCCTTTTATGTAGGTGACGATTAGGCAGGGACCCAGCCTCTATATTAGGCCGGAAACCGTAAATATGTCTATCACTTCACAGCAGCCTCAGGTCGTCCTGGTTCTATGCGGTCTCGTGGGTTCAGGATAGGTAATAATTTTTGTCTCTGCTTCATCGCACTTTTTACTGTTTCCACTGCAGTCAGTGTTCGCCCAGTCTCTAGAACACCAATATCCGAATTTTTTACGGTGTTGTCAAGACGAGTTGGGGTCGCGTAGGAAAGTTGAGCTTGCTGTGAGACAGGCGCTTTCAGAGGGCCGTTCTATTATTGTCGATCGGACGAACGTGGACATCAGGGTGAGTTGCGTTGGTGACGCCTGGGGATGATGGCCTTACAGCTCACTAATGGTCGCAACGTTTAAAGTAACTGCTTCCTGGCCTCAAGGAGTGGCTCTAATTCCCTCGAAGTCAAAGAAGGACGTGGCTGGATATCGCGGATGAATTCCCATCTGTTGAAAAGTGGTGTATAATGATGGACACGCCATACGAGGTATGAATTTGAGATTATTATCCGAACCGGGAAGGTGGCCAACGTCCCTTCGGCATGCCCAAGGAATGTACATTCCGTGTACTCAACCGTCTGTACAAAACTTTGCTACACTGGTACTTGCTGAATAATCTTCGATTCATGATCCTGTCCCAGGGTATGACCACCCAACGCTCCGCCCACACGATGCTCTACATGGTGAGCTTTGTCTCGGAGGCTACCAGAAACTTCGGTACCGACACGCTGCTTTTCCAGTTCTGGAACGCTTCGCAGCGTCGTTTCAAACACCCCATCCTTACGAGGGCTTCGACAGAATGTTAGCCCTTTCTCCGCAATCAGGTCTCTCCCAAATTCCGTCCAGAGCCCATGGACCAAGGGATCTATACTATTCTCCTGACGAGATTGACGCTATTCTTGGTCGAATACTTGGACCAGAAGGAGACCCTTCCAATTCCCTTCACATTTAATTTGCAGTCAAGGTGCGTCCGTATCTCTGGCTTGTTTGTCCATTTGAAGAGGATTCACCACAGTTCCTCTATTTATGTATAGCTATGTTATCCTTCGTCTGGGAGTAGGTCGGCGGCACAAAACTGTGATAATCTTGATGGCCAGCATGTCGTTCATCACCATCACCCGTTTCCGACAATTAGTGCTTGCTTTTTGAACTTTGTCTTACGTATCTGTCAGCTACTGTTATAGTTACTACCTCGCAGCGCCCAGCATTATTTGGAAACAATTGTGATGACCTCCCGTCACCCATTGATGGTGACATCCGAGGCAAGTATCGCCGCTGACCCTATTATCGGCCACGATGGCTCCTCAGCTGCGCTGTCCACCTCCTAAGACTTACCTGGATTAGCTCGAGCCGAAATTTAAATGGAGTACTGTATGTATACGAGTTCACTGTTACGACTCATGTCCTTCGTAAGTGCGACGACCTTCACCTGCTTAAGATTCGTCTGATCGGAATTCGAACACTGAGACGAGAAGACAGCGATAAATAGAACTGTTCAATAACACTGCCGTACCCTGTAAATGAGTTTGAAGGTCACACTTGCGTATCCAGAACAACAAACGAACAAAACCCTGATACTCCTGTCATCCTCCATTCAGGTTCCAGTCGTGGAAGCAGAGCAGTTATCATATAGAGGTTCGGGTATTAGGTCGTTGCCTGACTCCGCTGATGAGCTGTTGATATTTCTTGGAACCATTTGGGGGTTTCGCCTCCCAGGATGGAGCTTCCCCGTGTGTACCAAACCCCTGTGTAGTTCTGGATATGAGCCCCAAAGCAGGAACCCATATTCGTTTGTGAAACGTCGCAGCCTTCAGAAGTCTCAGACTGGCATTTTTTTTGGGAGGGGCCGAATAATACAATGACTTACACACTTTCGAGTCTTATCTATCTGCTTTCGATGTTGCGTTGATCGATGGGCACAACCAAGCTATCAGACAGGTAGCAATTAAGCTCGAATCATCCTCAGTAAAGTACAATTACAGGGACCTCAGTTACAATTTAGTGCTCGGTTTATTCTCCTGTCTCGCTTCCCTAAGAACAGACTCGATCCAATCTCCGACATACTTGGTCACTTCTTCTTTTCGTTCTATCATTAGCCAATGTCCCGCGCCATCAAGATCGATGGTTTTTAATGATTTTGCGAAATTTCTCGAGCGTTTAGCTGCTTGTTTCGGAGATGCAGGGTCCTCGGTACCCCGGATCAGGAGGAAAGCTGTCTCAGTCGGCAGGAATGAGGGGAGCTTTGCCACTGAAAACATTAATAGTCATGAGCGCGTCCGAAATATCTTCATGGTGGACTTTTGGTACCTTTCTCATCGTTGAAGCGGATACGTTTGGTCTTGTAGTACATAAGTGGCCCCGACATAGAATTTTCGAATTGCTTGACATAAAAGTTCATTTCCTGTGATGGCAATTCTTGCAGGGTGAGACAAGTTCCCCGTCAAGTTATTTGGGCTCACCGACGAAGAGAGAACACTTGGCCCATCAGGGAATTTATCTTTTCCTCGAAGAAAGTTCTCAAGCTTTTCAACTTCCACCCACTTCCATGTCAGGGAGTCGGAACGGTAAATCATATCCAGGAACGTGCGGAGCTAGAGTGACATTGAGGACCAATGGCCTTCGCACGGAGATCGGTCAGCTCACGTTGGATTCGATATCCTTCGTGGACCTAGGATCTTCCAAGTATACTTGGTAGCCCAATCCGGGGACACGTTTTGCTACTATGGACAATGGGATGTATGAAGGTGCTGGAGGGGAGTATGGGATAGATAAACTAGGACAAGTGAGCATGAAGTCAAGATGGCGTGCGTGAAACTTACGCAACCACGGTCAATACACGTTCGGGATGCCAAAGGTACATCCTCCACGCAATTTCGGCACCCCAATCATGTCCAACAATGGCAGCCTTCTCTACCTGAAAATTCGATCACGAAACAAACCCATTGCGGAAAGAATTTTGGTAGGACAATGGAGAGAAGCGTACCGTCAAGAGGTCGAGTAGAGCCGTAAGATCCTTGCATATTGACTTGGTCGAGTATGCGGAAACTTCAGTAGGTTTATCTGTCCCACCGTAACCCAACGCATCGACAGCAATGATTCTCCAACCTGTCAAATTTTCAAGGTGAAAAAAAAGGGATTAATTTGCGCTTTCCAAGGTGTGCTCACCCCTTTTGGCCCACGGCCCTATCTGGTACCTCCAACCATACCTATGAACCGATATTCGCTCTCTTAGTGGCCAGTAGGATCAATCATCGGCATACCAAGAATCGGGAAATCCTGCGAATGCGCATCAGGTAGGCCAAAATACACCTCCAGAAATCAAAACTTCTCACCATGTATAAGCAACAATGTTGGTGTGTCCTTTATGAAGGACTTGAACGGTTTTTGGTCGACAAAATGATAAGTTCTTCCTGTACTCAAACGTTCCGAGCGATGGTTGAAGCTCGAAGGGTCGATCGGGTCCATTGTCGGCGTTCAAATTGCCGGTGTGGGAATTCGGGGGTGTACCACCGCAAGTCCCACTTCATTCTTGACGTCGAGCGCCGGGATGACAACTTCAACCGCTATGGGTGGGAAGCACATTAAGGTAAATTTAGGGGCGGATGGGGTTGCAATAGTCACTTTCTCGCGGTGTGTTGAGGACCGCCCTGTGTGAGTGTGCGAACAGCCAAACTTACTTGAATCCTTGAAACAGCCCTCCAGTCAATGCTTTCAATACGGTGTAAGTACCAATGTTCATCAGCTTGGTTTATCTCAGGATGATGGTGTGTGCTTGTTCTATACAGAATGTGGCAGGAAATACCCAAAATATTTGACAACCTTAGTCTCGATCCTGCCGTGAGAGTCGTAGTGCTGGCCTCTACAGAACGAGCTTTCACTGGTGGAATAGACCGTAAGCGTCGGTTCTCCATCGCTAAATCTTTCCTTAGATCTTTGGGCACTTACCCAATATTTAGTGAAGGATATTGCGGACTTCTTTCAGGAGGGCGATGACAGCGCCCGAATAGCGTTGCAGTTTCGTCCCTTGATATTTGTCGGTGCTGTTTGGTATTTCCCCACACTATGCTACTTACATTCTTCTCGCCTCTAGCAATTCCAAAATGCCATCAACTCCATAGAAAATTGTCGGGTTCCAGTAATTGCCGCCGTTCATGGATTCGCCTTTGGGCTCGGCGTCGATATATTAAGTGCATGCGATGTTCGGTATGCTACGGAGGATGCGACATTTAGTGTCAAGGTACGTAGGCCCATTCAATAACGTGGTTAACACCATGATTGTGGGCTTAGGAAGTAGATATCGGGATGGCCGCGGATGTTGGTAGCTTAGCCCGGTTCCCCAAGACCGTTGGGAATGACAGTTCAGCCCGTGAAATAGCCGTCACGGCTAGAATTTTCAGTGCTAAGGAAGCCGAGGCAATTGGATTCGTTTCGAAGCTTGTGCCTGGTGGGAAACGAGAGGTTCTTGGTGCGATAGCATCTTCTGCATGAATGCAAGTGATCCTTACACAGGGCCCGGGACTCTCCCGTCTCCCGTGGTTTACATCACAGATGCTGCTTTGGTGACAGCAAAGGAGATTGCGACCAAGTCACCGATCGCAGTTGCAGGAACGAAGCATGTCCTGCTACATTCTCGCGATCACACGTACGTCAAGCGGTTCTACTGTCTGGCAGCTCCAATGAA